TGCTTGTTGCTATGCAGAGCACTGGAACTACTCACTAGTTTTATTCTTCTAAAAAGAGAAGTTTTCATTTAGGACAGGGATGGCAATAGGAGTACTATCTGTATCAGTTTCTTCTTATTTGAAAACCTACCATAGATTTTAGATAGCAAAACATAGTAATATGCTCTAATTCTTCCCATCAAAGGAAATGAAATACTTAGGAGTCTGGCAACAAAAGAATCAGGGAAGACCGTGCTACTGAGTCCTCTCCCTCTGAAGTACATCGGAAGTTCCATCAAAGGAAATGAAATACTTAGGAGTCTGGCAACAAAAGAATCAGGGAAGACCGTGCTACTGAGTCCTCTCCCTCTGAAGTACATCGGAAGTACAATAATTAGGGTTGTATTGTGGGATCACTTTGGATGAAAAGGGTACACTTCCAGTTACTTCTCATGAGTAACAAGTTCAAATAAATAGAAATATACCCTGATGGTCTTGGAACTTTTGGAAGAGCTAATTTAGCATTGAGGTGTTTTCTCAGACTGCCATTCAGAGTTGAGATTCACTTATATTCATGACTGCACTTTGCTTGGGTATTTTAATTCCTCGATTTCAGACTTAAAGGCAGTGAACTTATTATCAATGATGCAGGTGGCCTAACATAATGAGCCCCCATAAAAGGACATGTTTCAAGGTAGATCAAAAACAAAACTTCAAAAAACATACAGAACAGAGTAAAAGAAAATATGAATCCATTCTCAACTGGCATATGAAGGAAAGGAAAAAAACTCAAACATGCAGAAGAAAATAAGACATCTGAAATATCTGAAAAAAAAAAAACTTTAACACTCCTGTTAACATTTTTAAGTTTCCCCAAGCATGCTGTAAAGTCAGCAGAATTACCAGGTCTCCCAGTCACCAATGACCTCCTTGTCAATCAGAGCAAGAGCAATGATTCCCAAACTTCAGTGTACATTGCAGCCACCTGGAACGCTGGTTATAGCATGGACTGCTGAGCCCCACTCTCAGAGTTTCAGATTCAGATTAAATTTCAGATTCAGTAGGTCTGGGGTGGAATCCAAGAATTTGCATTTCTAAATTCTTAGGGGAATGCTGCTTTTCCTGGTGGTCCAGGAAACCCCATTTTGAGAAGCACCAAAATAGGCCATCTTCAGGGCCCATCTCACACGACTTCTCAGCTGCCTCTGACCCAAGGAACCACTCCTAAGACCTCTGCAGGCCACACTTGTCCTGCTTTCCCTGCCATCTCTCCTCTTCTCCTGTGAAGTCTCCTAGTGTTCCTCAGGACTTTATCTGTGACTTCCGTTCTTCCACTGAAACCTTGCTGAGCAACCTCATTCGCCCTGAAGCCTCCAGTCACCTAGGCTGCAGCTCCAGCCTGATCTAATGTGACCTTCACAAGGGCATAGTTTGCTGTCTTGTTCACAGTTGCATCTCAACTGCCCAGAGCAAGCCTGGTGTAGAAATGGCCCAGTAAGTATTTGTTACAACTTCCTAGGAGATATTTCCACCTAAATGTTCCACAAAATAACTGGCACCTGAAATCATATGCATTCAGGAAGAAAAATATCACAGAATGATATTATATAAACTACATGCTTTCCCTGTACTCCCAATGGTACTGAGGTAGGACAGGGACATGGGACAGGCATCATGATTAACTTCTTCTGCCTATGATCTTCTGCTGAGATATAGTCTAGTAAGAACAGGAGGGACTCCATATTAAGGCTAAGATTCCATTTGAAAAACCAGGGAGTTAGGAGGTAAGATTCCTAACATATTTTATGGTAATTAGCCAACAACTGATCTAATCTTAAGGCAGGGCAAGGGTATGTTCCCGCTGCTTGGGGGTAACTGCTATCTTGGAGAAGAACAGGACCAATAAATTCCTTGTGTTCAGTTTGTCTTACAGACTATCAAGAGGATGGATGTGGGTAATGACATGATGTCTCTCACTGGAGATGGACATCATGAGACCACAGGTCAGCCTGTGCTGCCTTGGCCTTTTACCCCGTTCCTGAAATCCTTAAAAGACATGAATCCTAAGCCTTTATGTAAGCCTCCTCTTTGAGGCTGCCCACACTCCCCTTTCTTCAAGTGTGTACTTTGCCTTAAATAAAACCTTCTTGCTGCCAAACTTACTGTGTTTTGTCTCTGTGCTCTTCAAAGTCTCTCAGGAGGTTAACAGGAGACCCCTTTCCCAATGGGAAGCATCTTTGTTACTTCACTACTTCATTCAATTTTCTAGATTTAAGACAAGTTTTCACTTTGCCTGTTCTACTTCAGACGAGTAGGGAAGGGCTACTAAGACCTCTGATTAGGGCCTGCAAGTTCTCATTGCCTGGGTAACCTGGAAGGACAGCAGCTGTGTAATCATGTTCTTTAGTAGCCTTCCCAAAAATCTTTCTTAGCTTGGGAAGTTCTCAGAACATAGTATCACTCCATCCAGTGTTCTGCAGCTCCCTAGATCCTGGGGTGGTGGGGGCTTAGTTCCCATGCTGTGCAGATTCAAGCAGACAGTGGGCGCCAGGTGACCCTGGCTTCAAGAGTTGGTAAGGGATCTGCCCTATGCTGAGCAGGATTTCAATTAACTTCCCTTTTTTCATTCTGTTCTTCTTTGCGCTCTACTGCTTGATCCGCGGCTGCCATTCACTACCACTCGCACTTTAATGAATTCCTTCCTTACCCACACTCATCTGACCTGCTAGAGAATTCTTTCTTGATCAGAGTCAAGAACCCTCTCCTGTCCTGGTTAAGGTCTCACCTAGTGCACAGGGAAAGACATCCCCAGATGCAGCTGCCTGTCAACAGTACCATCTTCCACTCATTTTGTAAGATCAAAGAAACCTAAGGGTCATCCTTGACTTCTCACCTGTCAGACACCAAGGTGTGCGGATTTTGCCTTCTAAATCTCTCTCATGTACATCCATTCCTCTCCATTCCCACTGCCACCACCTACTCTGAACACCTGTATCTCACCTGGATGCCCACTGTAGCCTCCCCTCCACACCGCAGTCAGTTGCGGGGTCTCATCCTGCCACGCCCATGATTAAAGCCTGTCTATGGCTTCTCCTGCCCCTTAGAGCAAAGCCTGGCCCCTCACCATAGCCTTAGTCTTTCCAATTGGGTCCTTACTGCCCCTCCAACTGTATTTCACTCTTCTTCCCAAGCCCTGTACTCCAACCGCCCCAACTCATTTTTGCTACCCAAACCCTCCATACTCTTACTCCTGCGCCATGATTCATGGCGTTCCTTTTTTCCTGGTGTACTCTTCCTTTTCCTCTTACTCCAAGTTCAGCTAATACCGTGTACTCATTTTCAGTTCCTAACTAACGAATTCACATCCTCCAAGTCTTCCCTTTCTCCCTCAAAAACCAAACTAAAACACCCCCCAAACTGGGAGACAGCCTGCCTTAAGTTCCTATAATCCACTGTATCTGCAAATACAGTATTAGCCCTGCTTATTTAACTATTTGCCTTATTTGCCTCTCCAGGGGAAGGCTCATGTGTACACAGTGCTGGGCCCAGGGCCTGGACTCAGTCACCCTGGCTGAAAGAACAGGCCAACTGGATTGAAGGGGAGGAAACAAAATAAATTATTTTTCTGTGTTGACAGCAGAGTAGCACTTGGGTCTTGGAAGGGGCATGATGCTCTGGGACAGTGGAAATATTCTGTATCTTGTTCTAGGTGGAGGTTATATGGTAAAAATTCTTTTTGTGTGTGTGCACATTTTGTAAATCATACATCAATAGAAAGAAATGAATTATTTTAAAATTATAATGTATTTCATATGGGGATCTAAAAATTCACATGGGCTAATAAAGCAAGTCACGTGGGACATAATAACAGAATTCAATACTAACCACAGGCACAAAAGTTCCTTAAGATGCTACTTCCCAAAGATCCAGAATCAAAAATATGCTAAAGTAATTCTTCATGTCATTTTTCTAAAATGTGACTGTGGTAGACTACTGTGCCTTACTTAAATCTGAGGTCCTGAAATACTCTTAGGAAAAGAAATGACCTCAAAGTCATTCTCCATAGAATCACATGCTATAAGAAATGCATTTCACAAACTAGAGAGAGTTGAGTTAATGGCATATAATTATATTTCAACGAATGCGTTGGGTCCACATTTTTAATATTATCGCCTCCCTCCTTCTCCAAGTAGGAACAGGACATAGGGGGAACCATACCATGTGGGTTTCCTTCATAGCTCTAATTAAAAGGATTCCTGCTCTACTGACTTCTGGGGGAGAAAATTTTCCAAGCATGTCAAGAAACTGAGGATTGCCTAGTTTTCTTTTTTAGACTAGAATGTGAAACTGGAAGCTTAAGATCGATTTTCTAACCAGCAGGCAAAATTTACCTGCAGTTTAAGGAGGGTTTAGGAGCTTGCTTTCTGTAAGCTGCTCTTCATCGGAAGAGCTGTCCGCTGGGTTTACTAACAATCCCTCCGGCCATGGATGCGCGTTTGTTCTGCATGCACCCAGCAGTCCCTCAGACCAGGTAAATGCCCATTCTGAAACACAGCAACCAAAACAGTTTTCAGCTAGGGTGAAAATCACCCAGAGGACACTACGTGCGTCCAAAATAATGAGATCTGCAGAACCGGACCACCACAAGGCCACATTCTACGCTTCAGATCAAAGTCACACCCCTCAGCCCTCCTGGGTAGTTGTTCTTGGAGAGTGCCTGTTTTGCTTCCAATCGTAGTATTATTTTAGCCAGTTTCATTTTCCTTATGTCTCTATTTGCACAGAAATCAAAGGAGAGGTAAACCTAAAGCTCTGTTTATCTAATGTAGAGAAGATATTACTTCATCATCATTATAACCAAGTGAGAGAAAAATTATTTTAAATATATAAAACAGTCACAAGTACCAGATTAGAAAAACTGAAAGTCTGACTGTGAGGAATGAAGCATCACTGTGCCCCCTTTTCTGATGGGAAAACTGAGGCGGCAAGATGTCTGAATGTCCCACAGCAGATGTACTTACTCCTAATTTGGGGCACTCTGTCGCTTTTTCAAAGTATTACCCGTGGAGAGGAAATGATCTGAGAAAGTTGGCGTTGCACTGGGAAATGAGAGCGGAAGGCAGGCCGGGGGGAGCCAGGATGGGCGACGGTCAGTGATGGTGGTGAAGGCGGCGGTGATGGTGGTGGCGGTGGTGGTGGTGGAGACCGAGATGGGCATGGGGGGGACGCGCGCCGGCTCCTCTCCGTCTCTCCATCACTGCCTGTCCTCTCTGCCTCCTCCGTCCCCGCGTGGCCTGTGCCCGGAGAAACAGCGCCCACAGGGTTTAAACCCACGCCGCACCTCCGCGAGCGCGAGGCTGCGGCGCCCGGCCAGCCGGCAGCCTCCCCAGCGCGGCGCCCGCGCCCCTCGCAGGGCGCGCACCCCAGGCCCCGCCGCGCCCCCGGGCCGCGTCCGGCCGCCGGTCACTTACGCCTGCTCTGGGCCCCGCTGCCGGCGGCCGGAGACAAAGGTTGCGCGGCCACGGCGCCGCCGGCTGCTCGGAGCCGCGCTGCCCGGCGCCGGAGAGGCTGGGGGCGGGGAGCGGGCAGAGCCACGGGCGGCAGCCGCGCGGCCGAGTGCTCCGCCCCGGCCCGCCGGCCGCCCCGGGCGCGTCCTCCCCGCGTGCTCGCCCGCGGACCTCCCCAGGGCCAGGGACCGCCCCCGGGGGCGGGGAAGAGGAGGAGGGAGGGCCGGGCGGGAGCCGCGCGTGTGCGTGTGCGCGCGCGTGTTCCCCCTTAACCGGGATCCTCTCCCCCTCCCCGCGTCCCCCTGCGGCAACCCCGTGGAGATGCTAGGCCCCGCCTCACCTGTACCGCGCTGCACGCCCTCCCACCCGGCCGTACTCGCTCGCCTCTCCTCCGCGCCGGCCACCCATTTTACAAAGAACAAAATTGAGACCTGGAGGGAAGGTCAAGTGCCACAGGCGCAGAGCTAGTGAGAGGCGAGCCGGGAGGACAAACGCCCGGATCGTGCATCCTGTAAGAGTGGGACCAACACCTTACTGTTTCCCTCTCCTGGGCCAGGTGCGGTGTGTAGGGTCAAGGTTGGACCTCGGGGACAAGCCTCGGGCCCCTCCATGGGCCCGCAGGGAGGCTTCCCTTTCTGGGGAAAGTAGCACGTCTGCTTGGCTCAGTCATTTGCATCTTGTTAGGAATAGTAGCTTTGATTTATTTTTGTGGAATTTTAAAAAATCACAAGTAGAGAAAATGTGTAACGAACGCACAAGTGCTCAGCTCCAGCTTAAAGACTGTCAACACTTCTCATTCCTTCATCTTCCCACTGCTTCTCATCGCTGAGGCTAGTCTAGCTAAGGCCTTTTAAAAACATAATCAAAATATCGTTATCTCACTTTACAAAATTACGAATAATTCCTTACTATCACCTGACTATGATTTTTTAAAAGCTGATGGTTATTCATTGAGTAGTTATTATCTGCCAGGCCTGTATTTAGCGCTTTACTTACACCACTCAGCTTTGGTGTGGGCCCTGATTTTCTCTAAAGCTGCGGGGAGAGAAGGATTGCACCGGTTGTTGGCTTGCAGCAGCTGATGGAGCATGAATTAGCCCTGATCCACCAAGGGCCAGATACTTCTCACCATGCCCCAGACCCCTGGAGAAGTTTGACTGAAGCTTATCCTTCCAGAAAAATGCATACACAGAATTTGTATTTCAATTATAGGGGTTTCAATCCAAATCTCTCAGGCTGTCTGAACCCAAGCACAAGCTATGAGACACAGAGCTGGGCTGAGGTGTCCCTTACTGCCCTGTGGAGCCCCATGGGTAGGCTGGCATCCTGAGGATTCTGCTGGGCAGGTCTCCCACAAGGCGAGCTAGGGATTTCCGGGGCCCAAGCAGGGCAAGAGAGTCATGCTGGAGTGCGGAACCTTTTTCCCTTAGGTGGAGGCTTTGTATAGAAGTCCTGTGCATGTGTGGGATGTTAATAGATTCTCACCTGTGTCTCAGAAGAGCATTTTGTCCAGGATGAGGAGACCTGAGCTGTGCCAGGGCATCTGGACATTCAGCTTATCTAAACCCGCCAGTGGCAGAGCCAAGGCACACCCATTGGTACATGGCTTTGGGAGCATGTACCTAGCAAAGCAGTCAAGATGTAGGCTCTGGACTCAGACTGCCTGGCTTTGACTCCTATACCTCTTGTTAGCCTTGTGACCTTGGAAAAGTTACTTGACATCTCTGTGCCTGCTTCCACATCAGGAAAAACCAGGGTTGTCGTTTGAACTTGTCTAGTTGGGCTGCCAGGAGGCATTTATGCCTGTACAGTGACTGGCCCAGAAAAGTTGGAAAGGTGCCAGAGTACTCATAAGCTGCTTGTACCCTTCAAGTGGGAGAACCACCATGATCTGAATCCAGAAGGATCGATGCTTCAGAAGATTCACAGCCCTACTTAAAGCAGACAGAAAGGGCCCACACCTGCCTCTGTTCAGTAGAAGCGCAGCATACCTACAAGGTGGCTCTTTCCTTTAGACAAGGGGCCAGGGGGAGGAGTACAGATGCTCACTGACAGGCCTCAGTGGAGTTCCTAAATGCTCAGGGGGTTCCATTGACATGGCTACAGGAACTGATCTTTGAGATGCTGAGGAACATGTTCATCTCTTGCCAACCACCTCAGCCAAACTGGTCTCAGGTAATGAAACACAACATTCCCTCTCCGGCCTCCCCAAGACTTCCCTCCCCTGTGCAGTCACCCCTGACAACCTCAGGCAGCAGGAAGTCAGTCTCTCCAGCTTGAGCTCTTGGGCCTGCCCCGCATTAGCGATTGGAACTGCCAGTTGCTGCATGTGTCATGTCAGCCCATCTAGACTAAGTGCATGGAGACCTGGGATTGGAATCAGTAGTCAGCATCCCCCATAACATCTTGTCGATTGCCCAACCCAGCACTGGCGAAAAGAGTGCTTCCTATAATGTGCACACAGGTCCTCGACGGTGCTCCCAGCAGGGCTCAGGCTGGCTAGGATTTTCATGCCCTGTAGCCAGCAGCTGGCACAAGTGACTCAAACCTGTTCACCTGCCAGCCCTTCCCGGGGCAGGAATGCACCGGAGGCCAGGGCATCGCAGCTGCCCTGACCGATGATGCTGTGATGACACACTGGTCTTCACCTCCGGGTTGTGCCACGATCTCATCCCTGAATTGGGAAGCATAGCTCCTTCCCCTGATGAGGTTCTGGGTTTCAGTGACCTTGTTCTGAAAAGAACCAGCCTTTCTCTTCTCTCTGTGCCTTAACCACCCCCTTTGCTTGCCTCCCTTTCAGCTTTCTGTCTTCCCTTCCTGTCTCATAATATGGATGATACTGATTTTTTTAAACCGTTTGAAGCACTTTGCCCATATCAACTAGAGATGGTGTAGGTGAATAAAATCAAGATTAAGTTTTTGTAGAGCAAGATGAACAAAGGAAATAGTGTCTAGTACTATGCAGGGGAGACCTGCCCAACTCTAGGTCTCCTCACCGACTGTAGAGTATTTTAGGGGTACTCAGACCTAGGGGTCTTCTGGGGAATAAATTTACCAAAGAGCCCTGGGGTCGAGGAGAAACACAGCAAAAAATGTTATTAGCATCCATTTGTTCTTCATAGACAATTTGACACTCTGAGCCCCGACTAGGAAAGAACTCTATAAACTATTAAAATGACAAAGAACTTTAGTCATGATAAAGAAATAGAGTTTGCTTTAGCTAAATGGAAGGCCATACAAATGTGAAACGACAGCTTGTGGTGATGAATGCCTTCAATGGTTATAAAGATCAACTTACGGAAGATTAATAGAAGGGGAACGCATAATATCTGGGCTTCCAGCTGTTGAGGAATGCTGAACTTACTGACATTGAAGATAAGCTTAGATAAAAGACATTCAGTCCAAATGGAGAGAAAATACTTTAAAATAAGCCTAATGCTAGCAACTAAATTAAGGCAGTAAATATATCTGTGGTTCCAGCCCATTTACTTTTATAGAGACTCCAGATCATAATAATGAACAGCAGATTGTTAACCACAAAGTACCCTCTGCATCACATGGAATTTGAGCCACTCACTCTCCCATGTCAAAGAAATCCAGTCGTCCTGACAGAGAAGCTTTCACACCTTAGGTGGAAACTAACATCATATAAGGTGGTTTTAAAAACATCAAGAGGTATGGTCTGTGTCCTCTCCCATTGAATCTGGAAGGGCTGGAGACTGCTTGCGCTAACAGAATGGCAGAAGAGGCAATATATGCTCCTCTGGAGCCAGATCATAAAAGGATGCAGCTGCCACCTGGTCATCTGGAATGTGTACCCTCCAGAGCTCACTCCTGGGATATGATCACTCGGAAACCAGTTACTGGCTGGGAGGGGCCCAAGCCCCACGGAGAGGCCACACAGAGGTGCTCAGGTCAGCATCCCGGCTTTCATAACACCTCCGCCCAGGTACCAGATGTATGAATGAAGATGCCTCCAGGTGATTCCAGTGTCCAGCGTTGAAGTTACCTCCACCTGGCTGAGTCCTTCCAGCTGAGACCTCAGACATGGTGGAGAAGAGATTAGCCCTTTCCTCTGCACCAGGTCTAACTTCCGGACCAAAGGGTCTGTGAGCATAATGAAGTGGTTGTTAAATGCCATGAAATTTGGGTAGTTGCTGTCAACTATCAGGAATATCAAACGATAGACAAAAATATGCCAGATGCAGGGAGACACATTTTGCTTTCAAAAAGCTCAGTCTTAGCAGAGGATAGACGCCTCAGTGGGACAGAAGCTAAACAGGAAGGGTGGCGTCTCTGAATTCCAAGCTGTATTCACCTTTCCTAGCAGCAGGTATCCGGCTGAGTGACAGCTTCTGTGCCCATCTACAAAATAACAGTAGTACCTGCTTCATAGCTGGGGTGTGAAGCATGAACCCTGTGAAGGGCCTATGGTGTGGTGAGCACTCTGCAAATGCTGGCCATTGTTCTTGTCATCATCCACTGGGACACACTTACTTTGCAACATCACGCTGGTGAAAGGGCTCCTGAGCTGGGCATATCACCAGGGGATTTCTGTTTCAGAAAAAGTAGATTCTGTAATGGGTTTGATTAGTAGATTTATGGTTTTATAATTAGTACAAAAGGTTCCTTAAAAGCAGTTTTACAGTCTTTTCTGGGCATTGACCCACAGTTAGAAATACATTTCCTATCGTGACCTAATACACATAAGCATCCACCTCTAGAAAACCATATTAAAATTTTCATGAAATAATACTTGTTCTTACTATGTGCAGTGCAGTCTGTCATGTTCTATTTAATTCTTCAAAGTGCACTAAATTGATTTTGTAACCTGCTAAATGGGTCAAAATCTACAATTTGAAAAGCAATGTCATAAATAATAATAGTTGTATGGTTTCCTTGTCCTAAACGTTGTGTTGCTTTTCCTTTTGTTTACCTAACTCTTCTCCACTTTCCGGAAGTCACACGCTCCAGTTTACTGCCTCCCCATCCTGGTGAGCAGTCAGAACTGTGGCTGGACCTCTGGCGGGGGGCTGAGGGCAGCTGTCAGCGCACTCCCATGCTCCCCCCCATCCTAGCACTGGGCTGGCATGTAGCAGATGCTGGACAAGGATTTTCGAGTTGATCTTAA